AACACAAAAACAAGGATATCGAGTGGGGGAAAGCGCTGGTATGCGAATGCCGAAAGCAGAAAGTCGAAGTCGGGCCGCGAATATCGAAATATGATATCGATAATGAAAATTGATCGATGGTGAGAGACTGCATGTCTATCGTTATTCTGCGCATGATATCTGTAATTATTCTCTAAAGACCAATTCTGACTTTTGACTACGTGCTATTTTTATTTTCAACGGCCAACACTAAACTATTTTTGTGCAAGTAATATATTTTTATAAGCGAAATATTTTTCAGATATTTCATTTTTTAACGATTCCAATCTTCCAGCATATGATATCAAAATCAGAAAGTTTATATATGCATTCGCTTTATAAATATTTTCTAAAAGAAATATTATTATCGCCTATGACGTTATTGCAGTGTATAATCAGTCACAACTGCTGCTTTTCTTAGTATGTGCCTTTTAACATGTTTCAGCATTTTTCGAGATAATTCTATATGAAAAAAGAAAAATGTGCGTTTGGTGTCGATATGTATCGCGTATATTGTTACCGCTTTTCCATGTATGTATAATTGGTGGTCGATTTCGAGCGATCGAGACCGCGTTTATGACAATGACAGTTCGTACAGTGTCAAAGTAATGAAAAAAATCGTATTTTTGAACATAAATTTAGGCTGCTGATTGTATTACGACAGTTCTGTTTTTTATTAAAAAGTTCTCGTAGTTCTAGGCATACATAATATTTCGTACATTTGGTCTTAAAGAAAAATTAATTATCACTTTTAATGACTTAAACTAATTAAAAAATTAAAGAGCGAGCTTCATAATATGGGAATATGCCTTTAAATGATCCTCAGTTTGATAATAAAAGATATTGAAAAATGACGTGACAATACTTAACATAATGATTCGTACACTGGGCTCTAAATTTTAGAATAAATAATTATCTCTATAAATGGCTAAAACTAATTAAAAAATGAAAGAACTGGCTTTAAAATGTGAAAATATGTCCTTTCAATGATCCTCAGTTTGGTAATAAAAGATATAGAAAAATGACGTGTCAATACCTAACCGAATGATTCGTACATTGAGTCCTAAAATTTGGAAAAAATTAATTATCGCTTTAAATGACTGAAACTAATTAAAAAATAAAAGAGCTAGCTTAAAAATATGGGAATACAGTCTTTAAATTGTCCTCACTTTGATAATAATAAATATTGAATAATGACCTAACATAATGATACGTACACTGGGTCCTAAATTTTGGAAAAAATCATTATTTCTTCAAATGACCGAAACTAATTAAAAAATGAAAAGGCGATCTTCAAAATATGAGAATACGTTCTTTAAATGGTTTTCAGTTTGATAATGAAACATATTAAAAAATGACGCGTCAGTACCTATAACATAATGATTCGTACATTGGGTCCTAAAATTTTGAAAAAATAATTATTGCCTTAAATGACTGAAACTAATTAAAAAATGAAAGAACGAGCTTCAAAATACGAGAAAACGTCTTTTAAATAATCCTCAGTTTGATAAAAAATATTGAAAAATGATGCGTCAATATCTAACATTATTATAATGATTCATACATAGGGTTCTATCATAATGATTCGTACATAAGGTTCTAAAATTTGGAAAAAATTGATTATCGTTTTAAATGACTGAAACTAATTAAAAAATAAAAAAGCGAGCTTCAAAATATGGAAGTACGTCTTTTAAATGGTCTTTTTATGGACAGAACCTTTTTGGATAATTAATGTACGTGCCCAGGACTGTACAAAAATTATTTTACGATAAACAAAATGCTCGAAATACGATCACTTTATCATATCCCTTTCTAAAAAAAGCATGTTATTTATACTCGAAAGTATCGAAGAATTGTTGCCTTTAATCCGTGATGCCGATTAATTCCGTCACAGCGTTTTCTTCGTGAGCGGCTGTCCCCAATAAGCACAAGTACATCCTATGTACGTACAACGGATGTCCGATCCGGACATTGTGTACATCCATCGGATGTCCAGATTACCTGCAGCGGACGTACAAGGGACGTCCATTGTACGTCCGTTTGCAACTGGTCTGGACGTCCATAAGTCGTCCATTATTGGTCATTTATGGATTTTAAATGGATAAATTATGTATCTAACGGACGAATTTTGATCTCATATAAACTAATTATGGATCTAATGGACGAATTTTGGATCTTTTATGAATAAATTTTAAATCTTTAATAAACATATTTTGGTTCTTTATTATACATGTATATCATTGAAAATGACATTTAAAATTCATAAAGAAGAAATTTATAAGCAATAATAAATTTGACATGCAAAATTAATTCATTTTTATACTAATCATAAAATATTGCAGAATATTTCTTATTTTCGCATATTTATCCGAATTTTTATTGTTCAATTTTTTCAATTAATTCAATATCTAAATTTTTTGTGTGGGATAGTATCAGAAAGGTTAAACTGATCAGAATAATTATAACATATTTAACTGTAATAGCCACTTTTTGCATGCGCTTTATAATTCTCTTAACTAAATTTAATAGCGAGATGAACAGCGAATCTTGCGTCGCATAGCGGCAAATGAAGGAACTATTACAAGATAATATTGCATAGTATATTTGCAATGTCTCCAATAAAATATTAAATTTATAATATTTGCACAATGTTGCTTCAATATTTATTATGATACAATGAAATAAAATATTTATGCAATATTTTAGCAATATTTCGTGCTGTAAGAGAATTTGATGGACATCCTGTGGACGTCCAAATATTAGTCACTGATGGATGTCCGAAATCGGATGTACAATGGACGTTCATTTCATGTCCATGGACGTACATACGTAAAATGGATATAAAATGTACGTCCATAGGACGTCTTGTGCTATCTGGGTCATTTTTACATAATAAAAATTTTGAATTATTATATCTCGACATAATTTTAATTCATCGAATTTTTATTATGTTCCGACATAATTTTCATTCATCGAATTTTTATTATGTCTCGACATAATTTGAATTCCTCGAATTTTTATTATATCTCGACATAATAAAAATTCTTGAATTATTATTATGTCTCGACATAATTTTAATTCATTGAATTTTTATTATACCTTTACATAATTTTAATAATTTAATAATAATAATTCTAGAATTCTTATTATGTTGAGACATAATAAAAATTCGATGAATTAAAATTATGTCCAGACATAATAAAAATTCGATGAATTAAAATTATGTCGAGACATAATAAAAATTCGATGAATTAAAATTATGTCGAGACATAATAAAAATACGATGAATTAAAATTATGAGACATAATAATAATTCAAGAAGTGCACAGACAAGAAAGTAAAGAGACCCTTGAGGGAATACCTGGCTTTAAAATCACGTATGAGCAGTTTGCTAACACCTAATATTAAACGTTTTAGTTATTGTTCACAATCAAATAACGATAGTTTGCATTCTGAATCTGGCGATGCAAAAGCTTGATTCTCGAGTAAAATGCTTGCAGAACTTTATAATTTATATGATAATTAGATACCCAATTTTATGTATTATATTAGTCGATTGCTTTATTTTAGGATTATTTTTTAAAGACTAAATATTTCCCTTGTTTAATATTTTGATATTAATAGCATAAATGTGCAGAACAAATATGTTATTCTATTTTTCTTTTGTTCATTTTTTGTTTATAAAGCTGTGTAAAGAAGAATTCTAATTGTAAATAAAAAAAAACTAATTTATAATAGAGCAATTGTAGAAAACAGAAAATGATTATTAATAATATATTAATTATTGCTTATATGAGTTAAACATTTGATTTTTATAATTCATTATTAGGCATATTAAGCTTTATATTTTAATCATTATCGATTTTTTCTATTTACTAAAATTCCAAATATATTCCAAATATATTTTTTTTTTCATTAACAGTTAGAATTTCCTTTGCACAGCTTTATAAACAAAAGATAAACAAAAGAAAAACAGAATTTATATATTATTAATAATATATTATTTATTTATATAGGCAATAAATAATATATATAATAATATATGCATATAATTATACTTATTTTTTGCACCGTTGTGGGCTATCGCGACAGGGAAGCGTTATTTTTATTTTAATTCGCCGAAATTTTATTATGTACATAATTTTAATTTGCCAAATTTTCGTAATGCACATAATTTTAATTCACCGAATTGTATTATGTACAAAATTTTAATTTTTTTATTTCTATTATGTACACAAGTTTTATTCGTGAATTTCTATTATGTTCATAATTTTAATTTGTCGAATTTATATATTATGTACATAATTTTTATTTTCGAATTTTTATTACGTACATAATTTTAATTTCCAAATTTCTATTATGGACATAATTTTAATTCATTGAATTTTTAATTTCTATTAAGTACATAATTTTAATTCACCGTATTTTTTTTATCTAAATAATTTTAATTTGCCTAATTTTTATTATGTATATAATTTTAATTTGTCGTATTTCTTTTATGTAAATAATTTTAATTCGCTGAATTTCTATATGTACATAATTTTATTCTTGAATTTTCATTGTGTACCTAATTTTAATTCTTGAATTTTCATTATGTTTTAAATTTTTATTCGCCGAATTTTTACTATGCACAGAATCGAACGGAGCACTTTTAGCGCCAAGTAGACTGCTTATTAAAATTTATAATTAATTTGTAAATGGAAATTTTAAGTAAAATAATAAGAATTGCATTAAATATATACATAAATAACATATTACAGAAATTTGACTCTAAATAAGCAAATATTCGAGACGCGCAAGAAGTCGCCATTTGACGACGAATATCATTGAGGCGCGTTCGAAAATACTACTCGTGGGATAAAGTAATATTTGATTGACCAATCAGCACAAAGATTCCTTTATTCTGATTGGTTAATATTGGTAGTTGAATACTTATTCCGTTGATAGGATTTTTGAACGCACTTTTATTGTCAGCATTTGTTCCCGCCTTTCTTACTTCATACGATTGTAAAGCTTTGTAGTTCACTATTTTATTTCTCATAAATATTATAAATTTTCGCAAAAATACGTTTTTACGAAAAGAAACATGAGTAAAGTAAGTCGAAAGCCATTTTCAGCACCTAAAGGTGTAGTGAAAAAGGCTAAATTTGAGTGAGTAGTTTTGTTATTGAATCTAACACATTTATTAACCTCTTCTTACATTTTTGTTTCTGTCGATTTTCTACAATTTAACATTATATCTTATACAATATTTATTATGAGTTTTGATTAAATAAATATCTCTACGTGTTTAAATTTAAAAGGATATTTATTACATTATATACACATTACCTTTGTATAAAATTCATTATAATAAAGAGAATTTTTAAATATTTTTATTTTGACACAGAGATGAAGATGAAGATAAACCCAGTTCATTTGAAACGGAATTAGCTACTATGGATTATGGAGATGATGATTTTCTAGATGAAACATTACTAATTGGAGAAGTATGATTTAATTATATGTATATGATAGAGCATGATTTATTTCTATATATTCTATTAATAATTAACTGTGAGGATGATACATATTTTTTGAGCACTATTTGCAAAATTTACATATGTATTGCATATATTATTTATTGTTTAATATGTACAAATTATTTATTATATATCTATTATTTATTAATAGCTCTTAATTTTATTACAGGGACCTGAACAAGAAAACACATCTGCAAAGTGGAGCAGAGCTCCTCCACCACCATTGAATCCACAAATTGATACATTAGCATTTCAGCAAATAGAAATTGACCATTATATAGGTAATAATTTTATTTTTTGTTATTTTAATATTTATTTATTAAAGATAAACAGCTTTGATATTTGAAAATATCAAATTTATATGTAGGTAGACCATTAATTGGAATGCCGGGTAGCAAGGTGGGACCTGTGCCCATAATGAGAATGTTTGGTGTAACAGAACTTGGAAATTCCATCTGCTGTCACGTACATGGTTTTTGTCCGTATCTATTTGTGTCAGCACCATCAAATTTTACTAACAATCATTGCAAGCCATTTAAGGTATATGTTTAATTTAAATAAGGAAATTATTTCAAATATATATAAGCGTCTAATAACTAATATAAGAATTTTGTTAATACAGGAAGCTTTAAATCAAGCTGTAAAAAAAGATATGAAATCAAATCCTGATAACATACAAGAAGCCATTCTAGCAGTTGAACTAGTCTACAAACAATCAATGTATGGATATGGAGGAAAGGATAATTTACCATTCTTGAAAATTACAGTGGCAGTTCCAAAATTAATAGCACCTTGCAAAAGATTATTAGAACAAGATACAGTTTATACTGCGTTTAATCATCATTATAGAGCTTTTGAAAGTAACATTGATTTTGATATCAGGTATATATTAGTACTTTTTCTATTATATTTTCTATATTTTTATTAAAATTGCAATATTAATGTATGTATGTGTATATATATATATATATATATATTTAAATTTTTACTCAGGTTTATGGTTGATACATCAGTGGTTGGTTGCTCTTGGATTGAATTAAAACCAAAAAGCTGGAAATTACGTGGCCAGTATGGACATATGTTGGAGCTAACTACACGATGTCAGTTAGAAGTAGATGTTGCATGGGATGCCTTTATAGCTCACGCACCAGAAGGTGAATGGTCAAAATTAGCTCCATTTAGGATTCTGAGTTTTGATATTGAATGCGCTGGACGTGAAGGTAACCATTGTTTTTTTTTTAATTCTTTTTGTTAACTTTAATATAATATTTTATTGCATGAATCTAATTACAAATTTTTCCTGTAGGAATTTTCCCAGAAGCAAAACATGATCCGGTAATACAAATCGCCAATATGGTCATAAGGCAGGGCGAGTCTGAACCATTTTTAAGGAATATTTTTACTCTTGATACTTGTGCACCTATTGTTGGTTCTCAAGTATTGAGTTTTGACAAAGAAAGTTTAATGTTGGAGGTAAATTAATATTTTTAACTTTCAGAAAAAAGTTTTATTGAAATCTACTAACGTAGAAAAAAGTTTTTTAATATTCTGTTGTTTATTAATATTTTCTTTTGCAAGAAATGGGCTGACTTTGTACGACAATCAGATCCTGACATTTTCACAGGATATAACATAAACAATTTCGACTTTCCATACTTAATTAATCGCGCGCAACATCTCAATGTTAAAAATTTCAATTTCCTTGGTCGAATAAAAAATATAAAGTCTGTTATTAAGGATCATGTATTGCAAAGCAAACAGCTGGGTCGTCGTGAAAACAAATCAATCAATTTTGAAGGAAGAGTTCCATTTGATTTATTACTGGTAAGATATAATTCATATAATAAGCATAATTCTTTTATATTAAAACTTCTTTAATATAATTATATAAATATGTATCAGGTATTGGTTCGAGATTATAAACTGAGATCTTATACTCTAAATGCTGTATCGTATCATTTCCTTCAAGAACAAAAAGAGGATGTTCATCATAAAGATATTACAAGTTTACAAAACGGAAATGCACAGACACGTCGACGTCTTGCTGTATATTGTTTGAAAGATGCATATTTGCCTCTGAGATTATTGGACAAATTAATGTGTATAATTATTTACATGGAAATGGCAAGGGTGACAGGAGTATCTATTTCTAGTTTATTGACCCGCGGCCAACAAATCAAAGTTGTTTCTCAACTTTTACGCAAGGTAATAAGTTTATAACTGCTAAAAGAAATAATTATTTTATTAATGCTAAACTAATTAAACTAATTCAATATATATATTTGTATGTATGTCGGCTGAGAGCCTACCGCGATGTCTTTTGCCTCAACGAAAATAATTAAATTAATTATTTTTTAATATTATTAGACTCGAGAAAAAGATTATTTGATGCCAGTACATCAAGGCCACGGTAGTGATGAGCAGTTTGAAGGAGCTACTGTCATCGAACCTAAACGTGGCTATTACAACGATCCAATAGCTACTTTAGATTTCAGTTCTCTGTACCCCAGCATTATCATGGCACACAATTTATGTTATACAACGTTATTAACTGTTGCTAAAAAGAAAGAGCTCAATATTCAAGAGGATCAAATTACCACAACTCCCAGTAATTCATTATTCATTAAAAGTTCTGTAAGAAAAGGAATTCTACCTGAAATTTTGGAAAATTTATTGGCTGCCAGAAAAAAAGCAAAGGCAGAATTAAAACAAGAAACGGATCCGTTGAAGCAAAAAGTACTCGATGGTAGACAATATGCTTTAAAGGTATCAGCGAATTCGGTATATGGTTTCACAGGTGCACAAATGGGAAAATTGCCATGCTTAGAAATATCTGCTGTAAGTTGTCAATATTTCTAAAATATATTTAACAAAAGGAGAACTCTGATATGCATTATAAAAATATTCATAACAAAATGTAATTGCAGAGCGTCACCGCTTATGGACGAACTATGATAGAACAAACGAAGCAAGAAGTAGAGGGACACTTTCGAATAGACAATGGATACAAGAACGATGCAATGGTCATATACGGCGATACTGATTCCGTAATGGTGAAGTTCGGTGTGAAATCAATAGAAGATGCAATGAAGTTCGGTAAAGAAGCAGCTGATTATGTGACATCGAAATTTATCAAACCTATAAAATTGGAATTTGAGAAAGTGTACTTTCCGTATCTCTTGATTAATAAGAAACGTTATGCTGGTTTATATTTCACGAAACCTGAGAAATATGATAAAATGGATTGCAAAGGTCTCGAAACGGTGCGCAGAGATAACTGTCCATTAGTCGCGAACATGATGAATACCTGTTTGCAAATATTACTCATCGAAAGGTACATCTCTTTATACTTTATGCAACATTTAACTTCATGTATATTTATGCTATATTAATTGTATATAAATATAATATAAATGGATAATGTTATATAGGAATCCACATGCCGCCGTCGATTATGCTAAACAAGTCATCAGCGATCTTCTATGTAATCGTATTGATCTCTCTCAATTAGTAATTACGAAAGAATTGACGAAGACTGATTACGCGGCGAAGCAAGCGCACGTCGAATTGGCGGCAAAGATGAAGAAACGAGATGCCGGAAATGCGCCAAAACTTGGCGACAGAGTGGCGTATGTATTTACAAGTGCAGCTAAAGGCACTCCAGCATACCAGAAGGCGGAAGATCCTGTTTACGCGTTGCAGAATAGCATTCCAATAGACACAACTTATTATCTAGAAAATCAATTAGCGAAACCTCTCGTACGTATCTTCGAACCTATTCTTGGTGAGAAGGCAGAATCGCTTCTTCTGAAAGGTGATCATACGCGCACAAGATGCATTGCTACTTCGCAAGTTGGGGCCCTTGCGGCTTTCACACGTAAAAAAGAAACTTGTTTGGGTTGTAAATCTGTCTTGCCATCGGACAGAGAAGATAAGGCAGTGTGTAAGCATTGTGAATCTCAAGAGGCTGAATTGTTTCATAACGAATTGCAAGCCCAACAGAAATTAGAAGAGAAGTTTTCTCGACTTTGGACAGAATGTCAGAGATGTCAAGGAAGTCTCCATCAAGAAGTTATATGTTCCAAGTTAGTTTAATTTAGTATTAATTTAAAATACTATTCTTTCTAGAAATAAAATTATTTGAGTATTATATATAAACTATATATATATATACATACATACATATATATATATAATAAACATGCACAATGTTTCAAAATAATTATTTTCAAATATGATTTCAGTCGTGATTGTCCAATATTTTACATGAGAGTAAAATCTCGAATGGATATGGCTGCGAAAGCGAAACGAATCCAAAAATTTGGTATCCCAGAATGGTAATAAAAAAATAATCACTTATAGGTAAGTTCTTATTTTGTAAAAGCTACTGTTATATGAAAATTTTCCTACAAATAACGAAATTATTATTATTTACATAAATTTATTCAATGTTTTAAATATTTATTATAGAATAATATAATATATAGTATCTGTTTATATGTTAAATATATTGTGTGCTAAATATATTTTAGTATATAAATTATCAAAATTCAATATGCTATTCAGTAAATATAATAAGTATATATTAACTTAGAAAATGTATCACCAACCACGATTTACTATTTGGCATATTTATTACAAAAATCGTAAAACTAAATTATTTCAGTGAAATTAAATCAAAATATTACTTGGAAAATGAAACTTATATGGAATATCTTTGATGGTGGTATCATTTTTAATATTGCGACATTTTCGCAGTAGTCTTAACTTTATTTTACTTATGTTGTGTAATTTTTATAAATAGTAATATGATATATGATATTATGTTTGTACCCCATCCGCAATGAATTTCATTATATATTTATTTTATCATGTTTGGAAAAAGTATTTCACAATTTGAGATACATCGAAATATCATTTTTATATGCATAGATATGATTTGTATTGAATTATTCTTGTTTTACAAATTTTTTGTTAACTTTTTGTTGCCAAACTTTTTTCGAAAATTTATCTCGATTTGGTATTCATAATTGTATATTTTATTTGATATCAATATGCATGTGTTCTCATTACAAATGCATAATTTACAATTTTATGGATTGAATTTGAGTTCATTTATCATTGAGATTAAATAAATAGGACAATTATTTTAAACAAATTATGAACTAATTGTTATGCATATGTAGCAGTAACATATGAGATATCTATTAGTGTGAAGAATCTAAGTGGAAAGAATTCTCTAAAGTTATTTTTTTTAAATCACATAGAAAGATAAAATAATTATCTTATTGCGCATTCAGCATTATGGAGAATACAATAATTTCGTGAATACTTTTGCTGTATAAATTGCAAAAGATATTTAAAATAGAATAATTATAATAAATAAACAGAACATCGTGGTCCGGTGGAAATCCGGCGACACGTTCAAAGTGACAGTCTTGTGACTAGTCCCCTTGTAAGGCTCGAATATGAATTATGCTGATGTAATAATAATCATTTTCTACTTTGTAACGCGTTTGACAACCAGTCCATTGCTTGATCGAGCCCTTCACCTTTTGTCGCGGAAGTTTTAAAAATTTGAAAGGTTCTATTTTTTAGAGCATCCAATCCGAGGGCTTGATGGACTTCTGCAACACTAAGGCATCCTGCCATATCCTGTTTGTTCGCTAATACCACCAAAATTGCACCTTGTAATTCTTCTTCCTATTCAAGTAAGATATAGTTTGAATAATTCGTATATTTTGAAGAAATGACTATTAATTTGTAAAATATCATTATCATTATTTTTTATTATTTTAAAAGTAATATTCAATGTTTTTCATAATAAAAATGTTACTTACTTGTAACATGAGAATTAATTCATCTTTTGATATGCCTATTCTATCTCTGTCAGCTGAATCTACCACATAAATTATCGCATCTGTGTTTGAATAGTAACACCTCCAGTATGGTCTGAAATAAAAATATTTATAAAATATAAAAAAATTGATACATATGTATAGTGGAAATTTAAATATAATTTTTTTTAATTTTGACAAAAACAAGCCTTTATACACAAACTTAACATACCGTATACTAGTTTGACCACCGAGATCCCATACTTGGAATTTTAAGTTTTTGTAAGTAACTTGTTCTACATTGAATCCTATGGTTGGTATTGTAGTTACTACTTCGCCTACCTGCAACCTAATAAACAGTTAAAGAATTTTTTATTTTCGATATATTTCATAATTCAATCAAATTTTATCAAATATATAATTATATCAAATACAAGTAATTTCATCAACGCAATGAAAACATACTTGGTCAATTAAGTCAGTTTTTAGAACTTTATACACAAATTAACAAATATTCTTAATATATGCAATAAATAATTAAGAGCAGATAATTAAAATTAATAGCTTCTAAGAATATAAAGATAAATCATGCGTGTGAGTGGGTGTGTCAAAAGATTTGGTGACAGATACACATCAAGTAAACACAAATGACAGCCTGTCACTGATAGTGGATTACAAGACTATCATGCAAACCTGTACAAAATCGTAGTCTTGCCGGCGCCGTCCAGACCTAGAATCAGAATACGCATCTCGCGGCTACCGAGCAGGTTACGAAAATAACTGAGTAACCCACCTGTGAAGGAATATATATCGTTAGAATTTCGCATACATGTACATACATAAGATCATAAGGATAACTCGGTGGCAGATAATATAGCGCGCGCACGACGTGTCACATTTATTTTTGCGGAGCAAAAACATGGGCGCGATATAAATGTATACCGAGGAACATCGGTCTTTAACTCACCCATGCTGGCGAATCGTTAACTCCAAGTCATACAACGTAGTGCGATGTTTATTGTCAAACTTGATAACCACAAACGTGTCCAAATAACCGGGCCGCACAGCCCTTCGTCATCGACGAGATACTCTGTTAAAGACAGCCAGACTCGCGTAGTTTTGAAAAATCTGCTGTACACTAACGCCCTCTCAGGAAATTGATCTAAATAAGAAATAATAACAATAATTTGACAATTGTAGTATTTAAAAAAATTTCTACACACCTGTGTGGGTGTGTGTGTAAATTTGTATAATATTAAAATAATAATTCAATACAAACAATAATAAATAAAAAATATATAATATATGAATAATAAAATAAAATAAATAATAAATAAAGATTAATATATAATAATAAAATATAAATAATTTTTAATTACAATTTATTGTATAAAATTATTTATATATGTTATCCTTATTGCTTGAATATTATTAATTAATTTATTTATTTATGTGTCATTTTTTTTCAAAAAAAACAGTTTTTATTTTTTTATTTAAATTAGCTCGTAGTTAATATCTTTTGAAAATGTATAATTAAAAACTCTATAGAGTATAATTTCTACATATATAAATTAATTCCTCACAATATTCGATATAAAAAATTATAAAGATAAAAATAACATTTACATTTTATATAAACTATGAAATATTTAATAAAATATATATTAATTTAATTTTTGATAATTTTTAATATATACTTTTACGTACAAAATAAATCAGAAAGGAATCAATTGATGTAAAGAAAATTATTATTTAAAAAAAAGATAAGATAGCATAGACGTATCATTTATATATGACATATATGTATATTTTATGTTTATAATATAATTAAAAAATAATTCTTAAACGAGCTTTTATGAACGCATTTAGGAACACTACTAATTAGGTCTGTTCTTTTCAACTACGCACGATCTATTCGTTTCTCTCTTATATGGATTTATTTACGAACGCAGACCGGTGAATCTCTGCACGTTGAAGTGATGACGTTGGAGTTCCGATCGTTCCGATAGAGAAAACAATGTGTGTTGGTTAGGAAATTTGTCGAAGCACAATTCTATCGATTAAGTTACGTAGTAATTAAGTTAATTTGACAGAAACGCTACAAATACTCATCGATAGCAAGATATAATAATGCATACGATTCTAACACGTGGAAATGCTATTTTAGCATATACATTAAGTGTGTCAGCTTGCCTCACATTTTGCTGTTTTCTCTCAACAGTATTTATCGATTATAGAGCGAATGCGACACTAAATACGGTTAAAGTTGTTGTGTAAGTACGATAAAATATGTCAATCTTATTTTACGTTAATTTAATTATTCATACATTTGTGTTAAGAAGATCCATATTGTATGTATCTCATGTTTTACAAGAACAGAAATTCTTATCTACACGATTTGAACGTAAATATATAATTATACAGACGTTATTTGTCTTTCAATATGTCGAAAATTTGTTTTTCCACTTATGATTTTGTATAGTTGTGATCTTATGCAATTGTCATAATAAGCGTGTCTTGTTTTACAGAAAGAATGTACCAGATTATAGTGCGTCAAGGGAAAAAAATGATCTGGGCTACTTAACTTTTGACTTACAAACTGATATCCTTTACATATAATGTTATACAAATATCTATAACATTTATGATTACTTAAAATCAAATTACATTAATTCACATAAATCAATCTAAACTATATTTTTTTAATTGGCTTTATATACTATTATTTTCATTCATAAAAAATATAGATTTGACTAAGAGATGAATTTTATAAGATAGTATTATGTGTTAAAATTTGATTATATTTACCTTACAAAACTGTTTACATCTCACTCCATTATTTAATTGGAATGTTAAGCAATTGTTCTTATACCTCACAGCAGAATATCAGACACAAAACAATGAATTTAATCAGGTCAGTTTCCAGATTTATTAATTTGCAATGGCTTGTTTTGCATGTCTGCAAAACAAGACATGTATCCTATATGATTTTCTTTTATATAAAATTAACTTTATTTTTATTGGCAGGTAGTCTTATGGGATAAGATAGTACTTCGTGGAGACAATGCTGCGCTTGATTTTAAGAATATGAATACAAAATATTATTTCTGGGATGATGGCAAAGGCCTCAGGTAAAATATATAAAATTTATTGAATATGAATAATTATGAATATATGAAGATCGTTATGTCAATAAGATTAATTTTCATTTATGTAAATTTTAAATATATCATCTATATGTATATATTTTATCTTTGCAGGGGAAATAAAAATGTAACATTAACATTATCTTGGAACATTATACCAAATGCTGGATTGTTACCTAGTGTTAGTGCTCTTGGTTCTCATACTTTTGCATTCCCATCTGAATATACTACATTACGTGTATAACGCATATTTAAATGTATACATGTTATACTGTATATGTATGATTTTTTTATAAGATTCTTATTTAAGGTGCGTAAATTTCATGTATAATAAATGTAAATGTTTATTTCTTCATGATTTCCTTTTTATATTTAACAGTATATTTGTTCAGTTGTTTAATTAATGTTAAAATTTTTGATATATTACTGTTTAAAGGCTATAAAACTTAAATATTGTATGCATTAAATGTATGAATACTTAAAAATTGTCACTTAATTTATATTTTACAAAATGTTTAAATTCTCTTTTCAATAATATTTATATTTTTTCTGATTACTTTTATTAAAGTTTCTGCTAAAACATTAAACATTTTTTAATTTTTTTAATTAATATATAACTTGAAACATGTAAGCGTTAAGCTTTATTTGTATTACTATTTGAAGTATGTTGTATGTTAGTATCTTTCTGTTCTTCATCTGCACTCGACGATTCATCATCATCTCCATTTTCGTCATCCTCATCTTCATCATCATCGTAATCGTCATCATCGTCGTCATCATCGTCATCTTCATTGTCTTCATCATTATTAGCATAACTAGTTCCAAAGCACGAATCTTGATTTCCTATCACAGAAGTACAAAGATGTTCTCAAATTATAAATAAAAATAATATATACATGAAAATATACTTTAAAATCGTAAAACTGTTTTTTGACTGTTTCAAAATCTTAATTTACCATAATCATATCCATTTTCATCATCAGATTCTGATGGACCACCTTGATTTTGCCTACCAAATTTGTGACTTCTTGCTATAAAAAGAAGTACACAAAAAATTAGATAATTTATAATACATTTTTATTTAAAGCAGTTAAATGATCTTTGACAATACTTACTGGACATGCTCAAATCTTTAGTCTGTGATGTCTCATAGCTGCATTTTGGACATGGAATAGGCTTATTCTTCTCATATTTAAAACCTTTTCTACGAACATGATCCTCACAATAGCATGTTTTACATCTGAGACAGGAATATTGTCCTAAACGATTACATGATTGACCTAAAAATATTAAATAGAATTAAAATTTAATCCTTTAAATATATATAATACACACAAATCGAATTATATTTAGAATAAAAAGTGCAACTCAATGCAATTATTACATTTGAAACTTTCTGCTTCCAATACTTGACAGGATGCTTGATGTTCAAATTGATCATCTTCGCATAAAAAGCAATCGCAAAATGAGCACTTGAATATCCTTCCGCCGTGATCCCAAACTCCTCTCTCACATTCCTGACAAACAGCATCCATCAGTGGACAAATGCAAGCATGAGAAGTGAGACAACGTCTTCCGTGGCAAACCCAGGCTTCGCAATAATCACATATGGCTCCCTAAAATGTTTGATTGTAAAATTATATGATAATATTGCTACAGATTTTGAGACAATATTGTTATAATTTGATGAAAGTATGGATTTACTTGCCACCATTCCCAATCCTGTGGTGAAGATGCCAGGGTGGCGTACCACACAGTCTCCAGTTTTTAACATACACTTGATCTTGCCACAGTGTGCGCATATGGGCAAACGTTGCACACTCTGACAAAAGTAACAGAAGGCACGACTCTTCTGCTTCTTATTACATTTGTCACATTCCTGTAGCGTGAATGTGACAGTTATATTTAATTAATATATCAGATAATTATATTAATTTATATTAATTAATCAAATAATTACAATTAATTAATAGTTAAAGATTCAGATGTATAATGATGTATTTTCGTCAAACTTTATATTAATATCGAGCTTACCATTACGGAGTTACAAGGATATTTTGCTAAATCCACTTGCTCCTTAGCCGCTCTAATTTCTTTCTGTCGAAGCTTCTGCTTCTCGGCTTTTTTTCTCTGACCGGTCTTCTTCTTCGGCATTTTCACTTATTAATGAAATCTGATCTTATTGCTGTTGAGATGTGCAAATCATATGATCGTAAGAGAGGTTATGGTTTCGAGTACACGAGACACGAATATAAATGAAGTATTTGCAATTTTGGCGGTTTATATCGGTTCACTCTGTAGAATTGACCTGAACAATTCGTCGATAAAATTTTTCGCAATTTAAGAGACACTTATAAAGTGCGGATTATTTAATTCGTGAAGATTTGCTCTTTTAAAGAGCTGTTCTGTCAAATGGAAGTGACATATAATAAGGAAAACCGCAAAATATCTGTGAAAAATGACAGAAAGCAAAAGTCACCGCATTCTGTTGAATCTCTGTTGTTGTTAGATAACACATTATTGTGTAATATAGAATCTGACAGTAGCATCCTTGCTCCGCATAATTACTCCGAAAATGTCTCAGCAGCACGAGTTTCTAAAGGGAAGCAAAATGTTAAAATCAATGCAATGGTTGCGTCAAAAGAACTCAACAAATTACAAAGTGCGTTTTCTCCCAACATAAATGAATGGCAAGATAAATCATTAATGAATCAAGTATTTGCTCAGTTCGAGAATGAAAGAGAAATTGTTCCAGGAAATAGTAATATTAGCTTTGATATGTTTGATACATTTTGTAAAGAAGACACACACACAAACTTTGATCAAAGCATAGAGAAAACATCTTTATCTGAAGTAAATAAAAATATATTATGCCAAGATAAAGTGACTAATATATCAAATTTATGTATTACAAATTTTGATTATACTTTGGAAGATAGCTCTTTTAAGGAAAATGAAAATAAAGATGGATCACCAATTTTAAAAACCAAATATAGAGGTTTAAGTGAATATAATAAACCAAGAAAACAACTCCGTTTAAGGAATGAATTAAGATCAAAAACAGCAAAAAATGAAAATTTAAGCATCACAAAGTATCCTTTATTTTATGACTTACCACATACTGTGAAAAAATTGATTGAAGAAATTAAGGGCATTCATGAATTATATCGTAAGTTATATCACAATTATATAAATCAATAAAGTTTCTATATATTTTCATAGAAATATAAATTTATTTAATCATGTCTTTTTATACAGAATGGCAAGATGAATGTTTAAAGTTAGCTATTAGAAGTAAAAAGAATTTAATTTATGCTCTACCAACAAGTGGTGGTAAAACTTTAGTTGCGGAGATATTAATGTTCAGGGAAATTATATGTAATAAGAAAAATACAATTTTTATACTCCCATATGTGGCTTTGGTGCAAGAAAAGGTATATTTTAAATTAATATATTGAAGAAAAAACATTTACATAAGATTTAATATATATGTAATTGAGCTCAATTTTACATACACACATATATATATATATATATATATATATAGGTCCAATCAATGGCTATATTAGCATTAAAATTAGGTTTTCTAATCGAAGAATATGCTGGTACAAAAGGGCGTTATCCACCAATCAAACGGCGAAGAAAAAATAGCATCTACATTTGTACTATAGAGAAAGCTTTAGGACTTGTAAATAGTTTAATAGAAACAAAACGTTTAGATGAGGTGAACTGAAACATTATTAGTTAATTAATTGTACATAATTCGATAAAATATAATATATAAAAAATATTTTAGATTGGTATTATAGTCATTGATGAGTTACATTTACTTGGGGAGTCTGGAGGAAGAGGTGCTACATTAGAAGGGCTTCTTACAAAAATAATGTTCTTCAGTGGTAATTACAGACATTTAAATGATATTAGATAAAAAATGTAAGTATTTCCTAAAAATTATTTTTTTGAAGAATTGACTAATTTTTTACAGATACAATACGTTTGATTGGAATGAGTGCAACAATAGGTAATTTAAAGGAAATTGCACAGTTTCTCAATGCGGATACATATTCACAAAATTTTCGACCAGTTGAAATAACGGAATATGTGAAATGTGAAAATGATACTTGGGTAGTCAATTTGAGTAATGAAGATTTATTAGTAAATATGAGCAATAACGATTACAAGGTGATTTAATTATATTTTATTTTATATTTATTTTGCATTTTTCATATTTCATATTTTTATATTTTATTATTTTATGAAATCTAATAAATTAATAATCCTGTTATAAAGTATTCAGATGATATAGCAATGCTAGATCCAGATAGAATTGCGGGCTTGGTAATGGAAGTAATACCAAATGATTCGTGTCTTATATTCTGTTCAAGTCGTAAAAACTGCGAAAATGTGGCTTTATTATTAGTTAAAGTTTTACCTAAGTAAGACATTGTTTCTCTATTGTATTTATTTTAAATATTATCTATAAGAAAACTGTATATTAAATGCACACATGATTGTATCATAATCTCCAAAATTATCATTTCAGAAGTTTGATTAATTATAAAATAGAAAAAAAGAAAACATTGTTAGATGCACTTAAGGCTGAAGAAGATCTATGTTCTATTTTGTGCAAAACTGTCAAATATGGTATAGCTTATCATCATTCTGGTCTGACATCCGAAGAACGTCGCTTGTTAGAGGATGCCTTTAGAGAAGGTACTCTATGTGTAATATGTTGTACATCAACTTTAGCAGCTGGTGTCAATTTGCCAGCAAGAAGGGTAATTCATAAAAATAATTTGAAATGATCATCTTTATCATTATCTAATAATATCATTAATATAGTTGCTCATAATATAATTTTGTTATTAGGTAATACTACGTAGTCCTTATATTGGTAAGCAGTTCTTGAATTTAAGTAGATATAAACAAATGATTGGCAGGGCTGGTCGTGCTGGTATGGGAGTTTTAGGAGAAAGTATACTTATTTGCAAAAAATTTGAGATCAATAAAGTAAATATTTTTATAAGATATACTTACAGTGTGACATAATCTTCATTATAATTATTCATTTTAAGAATTAATGATTTTTATATTACAGGTGAAAGAGCTCTTGATTTCTCAAATGGATGACTCACTAAGTAGTTTACATATAGAAAATGATAGAGGACTCAACAATTTGATTTTAAGTGCAATACAATTAAACATGGCAACAACTAGGTCTGAATTACATAAATTGACAGCTACAACTCTACTTAGTATTCAACAAAATAGAATAGGCGTTAATGTGAAAGCAATCACGGACGAAACGATAACGGCGTTATTAAAATGTAGCGTGATAAAAGTAAAAAGTAAAAGTCGTAATAATACCGATAATCCTAATGTAACTGTCGTTATTCCATCTCAAGAACCAATGCATATGGAAAAATCGCCAGTCAAAAAAGGAAAAAAATGATCACTTTTACAAGCGAAACCGAATTTCAACTTTGTGATTTGGGACATGCTGCAATGAAAGGTGAGAGCTGAGTAGATTTTCATTAACTTTATTAATTAATTTCATTAATTAATGCTGTATATTTGTGTCTGTAATATTTTATAATAATGTTATACTTGTTATAGGACCAATTGATTTAAAAACTGCATACACACTATATGAAGATTTAAAAACAGCTCAAAAGCATTTAATCTTAATTGATAATCTTCATCTCTTATATCTTGTTACACCATATGACAGTGTATCTCAAATCACTCTCAACGGCAGTATTTATTATAATGTGGTAATGATATTGTTTGTATGATTTTATATATAAGATATATACATTACAAATATTATATGTATCAATATATATTACAACTATTATATGTCTTGCATTGTTATTTCAGATAATGGATTTAAATGAAAATCAAATGCAAGTAGCTAGACTTTTGGGGATAACAGAAGCTACAGCAAATAAAATACGTGATGGTATAATGCCTAAGGTAACCTATATATAATTAGTTACTTGTTAAATAATTTAAATTATGCTTTAATAATTGCTTTATTTAGAAAAAAATTTGATTACAGACTGTAGAGAAGAGGGTGGTTCATAGATTTTATGTGACCTTAATAGTATATGAATTGTGGAATCATCATTCAGTTTATTTTGTTGCCGAGAAATATCAAGTTAATAGAGGTATTATACAAAATCTTTTAAATGCAGTCTCAATGTTTGCATCTTCTGTTGTAAGATTTTGTCAGGTAAATAATTTATTACAAAATTATTTTGAAAAGATATGATAGAAAAAATTTTAGCACATCTTATATATATTTAAATTATTTTGTAGGAACTACCCGAGTTTTGGGCATTTACTGAGATGTTGAGTACATTTAGTAAAAAATTATCTTACTGTTGTCCATCAGAGCTAGAAACATTGATGGAACTTCCCTCAGTTAAAATAGTAAGAATTATTATTTCTATATTATTTCTATGTTTTAAATATTTAAAAATAAAATTAAATATATATATGCATCTAATTTTACATATTTTATCATAGGGTAGAGCTCGTCAACTATACAAGGCTGGCTATCGAACTTTACAATCTATAGCAAAAGCTGATGCGAAAGAAATAAAGGAAAAAATTCCATATTTAAGTAATAGAATAGTAAAGCAAATTACTGCTGCAGCAAAAGTAAGTTGTTATATAATTTATATTAACTATCAATATTCGATTTTGCGTTTATGTTATTCATATAAATTTTAGCTTTTAATATTGCAAAGAGCAGAGGATTTAAAAGACGAGTGGGAAGACGTACTAGATGGTATACATATGAGTCAGATAGAAGTAGAGCTATTCTAAAAAATAATTAATAAATTTTTAAAAATTTTTTCCAAATAAGATTTAAATCTTGTATAAAATTAAATTTTGCGGATTTGGTGCAAATATTTGGATAAAAATGAATGATTTTTGTTATCAAAGTTTTGTTGTCAAAGCTCTTTTATAGAAACAAATTGGATCATAGATGTAATTTGAATTATGTATATATAAATTGACAATATCGTATATAACGAAACAATTAATTGAATATATTTATACAGTTAAGAATTATAATAAATTTTCTTATTAATAATTACATAATGTCTGTTAAGTAATACATAAAATTGATATTATAAGTATCTTTTATCTATATTTATAATTTGTGCCCAATAGAGCAGTGTGTTTTGAAGAACAACACATTGTTTAAGCAGGCACATAAATCAATCATCTGAATATGTTCGATATATACTTAAAAGATGGTAATATATCAACATATGTCGTAGATTACAATTTCTTGTGTACGATATAGGTATATAATTTATTTAGAGGGATGAAAAAAAAGATTTTATGTAGAAAAATTATTTAGTAATACAATCAAATTTTATCTTTTTTTATACAAGCATGGTTTTAATATAATTGAAGGGAGATTCTTCTTTTTCATGTTTATATCTGCTTCTTTTTTAAAGTCCATGAAATAAAACAAGTCGTGAGATAAATCCTTCCATGTACTTTTAAACCCATACTTTGCAAGTAGTTTTATAAAATCTGTCACATTCTCAAATCTGCTTTCAACTTCGGCTATTTTTAAAGTACCACTAAATTGAAACAAGAGCATTAATTTTTTATATTATTCTATCTCAATCAAGAACATTATTACTTACTTGTTTTTAAGAACTCTGTTAGCTTCAATTATATAATCGGCAAGATTAGATCCCATTAAAGATAAACAAAATACGACAACATGAACACTGTTCATTAATAATGGAGTATGAGCCATATCACAAGCTTTCACTTTGTCATTCAGAGCAATGAAATCGAATGAATGTACTTTGTGAGGAACAGAAGCAGCAAGTAGTGCTTCACCACATCCAAAGTCAGCAATCACATTTTCTGTTGGCCTGTAATTAACAAGATTATAGTATTTACAAATTTTATATATAATATAAAGAAATTTTATGAGCATGATACAAACATTTTTTTAATCGATGATATTATAATATCCAGTGGATTTACTGGCCATTGTTCGAGCTGCTGTTTATATCCATCATGATAAGCTTTAAAAGCATCAGGATCTTCTTTAAAATATTGTTTAGATTGAAAGCTTTCATTGTTGTACAATGTTTCATTTATGAATCTAAATCTAGATGCTCTTAATTGCGTCATCATTCTATCTCTCAATGTAAGTGGCTGCACAACCTTTTTTACCTTGGATTTATCGTCAAGCATTTTTTCTAATTGATGTAACTTTATTTTATACTTATTTAGTTTTAATGTTTTCTCAGATTGTACTAGCTGTGTCTCTGTTTTGCTAGACATTTGTTTTATTTTCTTTTTATTCATTTTCTCAATGTTTTGAATTTTTGTTTTACTATGGTTGAAGTGATTTGATTTGTTTGCAGACATTTGTAATTTTTTACTTTTTTTTCTGTAGACATATTAGTTTTTGCAATATTATTACTTGTTTGACTAGGTTTTTGTCTTTTGTTCTTTTTGTATTTTATTTTACTGTCTGGATTTTTACCATCTTTTGAATATTCTGTGGAATTATTTGGTTTTTCTGTATTCTTTGCAAATTCCTTTTTAGAATTGTGTTCCTTTTTCTTTTTACTATTTTGTACCTTTGTAAATATATCTATTTTATTAGATGCATTTGATTTCGTTAACTCATTTATTTTATATATGGAATTTAATATTTCTTTCTTATTACTATTTCTTTTTCTTTGTTTCTATAACAAAAAGAGAAAACAATCTTGCATTTAAAAATTTTTTTAATTAGAAACTCAAACATTATATTATTAAAAAAATTATATTGAAAATTGTATTACCTTGAATCGCGTTTCTTTTAATTCAGGCGTCTTTTTTCCTGCGAAATTATTTTAACTTTGCCCATAGTTCTCGAAATAAACAAACATAACCTCTTTTCGCAACAAATTCTACCACACACGTGACAAGTTCAAGCCTGATCGAGTAAAAGCGCATATATTTTGACACGAATATAACTCGACAGGTAAATAAAAACGCGTCGATATGCGTTCAATAAATATTTTATCGTCGTACGATAATATCGAGCGCGCACGAGAACGTATCGAACGTATCGATTTTTTAGTTCCCGATACCAACGAGATGGCGCCACGAGCGTTTGTTTGCCGGAAGCAGGCGCACGGCCGCGCACACACGACACGGGCACGGGCAGTTGCAGTCGAATATCTTCTCGGTAAACAATATGGCCGGTCCGGTGTGCTACGCGGGTGATGTCGTCCTCGCCGTGTTCGCCGAGTGCCGTTGTCCGTGCTGCGAGCGGGACTAGCCGTTCACGGTAAGTGCACGCTTATTGAACCACGTACTTGTCAAATGTCAAATTGTCAAGCAACGCGACCGGCGTTCGCGCGACTTTTGTCACGCGCGCGATCGCGCCGATGGCCGCGTTCGGTTTTTTTGATTGGAGAGAAGAATAAAAAGAAAAACAGGCTGCCCAGAGCGCTTTCCGCGTGCTCGATGTCACGTCGTCGACGCTGTCAAAGTCGCCGCCGCGACATGTGACAGGTGTCGGGGCGCCTCGGTGTCGAGGGTACGCTCGTACTTGAGGTGATATTCATATATATATGTATGTATGTCGTGTGTCGGGACATCGATATGAGAGCGGGTAAAAGTGAGACGGCCAACGTCACGCGTCACTTTCCGCGAATTCGAGAGAGCCGAGGGACACCCGCTCCTATGTAACCATCGGCTCACCTTCGCCGCGGGCTCCCGGGATCCCGTCCGCGGAATTTCGTTGATTCTGCTGAACGTGGTCACCGCCAGCTCCGCTTTTTACGCCGGCGGCGAGGCGGTGACTCGCGTGGCCGCCGAAGCAACAGGTTTTTCGTATACCGAGAAACCATCCGGCAAATGACTTCTCCCCTCGCGAAAACCCACGTTGTCCCGAAACGGGAAATTGAAATTTTTCACGTATTTTTTTATCTTCTTCATTGTCTCGATTTCACCTACATATGCAGAAAAAAATATGCGACGAATTAAGTGAAAAAAATTACATTTATCGTGAAACAGTGTTTAATTATTTTGTATGTAAATTTTGAATTTGTTCGGAGTTGAAAAACAAACATTTTGCGTTTTTTAAAGGCCGAATTTTTCAAATTCTTGATAAGTTTTATTTGAGAGGTAGCATAGCTTGGATTCTTTTCAGATAAGTTCTAAAAAGACGAAGATATGCTATCTGTGTAAAGTAAAACTTACCAAGAAGTTGGAAAAATCGGACCTTAATTCAATATTCGTACGTTTATGTACAGCGTGAAGTTGGCGCTATAAAGATGCGCGGCGCAGTGATCGCAGATTTGAAATTACAAATCATTTTTGCGAGCGGAAAGAGAGATCAAGATTAAATGTGCCCGAAAAATGGTGACAATACCAAGGCGAATATCGCGCGAAAAATCGCGCAGAGATGCAAAACGCATTGACCTCAAATTTCGCGTCGCGACGGTTTTACGTATTTTTTTCCACGATAGGAATGCAATTAGGTAATATGATGTTACTGATATGCAATAATGAAAGAATCGTATATTGCATAAAAAATGCATCGTAATATAATATGCATCTAAATTTAATTCTCTCTAATTTGCAAGTTATGAATTGTGTATAAGATGATGATTGATAATATGCGTCTCGTGATATTCGCGTGTGTAAAAGAATGAACGCGACATTCCTATGGGAAATAAAGGATATTATTCTCGCGGTTATACTATATATCTATCCGTTTGTGTAATCCACTTTCGGAAAAACACGAACGTATATGATTTCCTCTCTGCTAGATCCACGACTCTTTTTCCTCTGCTTTTCTTTTCACGATCGTGACGATAATTATTGCAATATCATAGCATTGCGATTATTTTTCTTTTCATTCTTCTCGAGGAAAATTTATTTTCTTGTTAAAAAACGATCCCCGTTAAAATTTTTGTGTTACATATATATAACACATTCATATGTATTGATTTAATATATGAAGTACTGTTATGTTAATTGAACTTCAATGTTATTAAAATGAATTATTAAAACAGACTGAAAATAGATGTAAAAATAACATAATGTACATCTATTTTTAATTTTACACGATAAATATGTTTTGTTTTATTAACGACAAGATTGATCTGTTAACATTTACAGAAAAAAATTTTTTATTTTATAATATAAGTAGAGATGATAAAATCTAAAATTAACATATTTTTACATTCAAGCTATATTAATTTTACACAAAATTTATTTTAACTTACTTGAAGTTTTGCATTTATTTTGTGTTAAAATATTAACACAATATTTATGTCTCTATTTAACATTATTCATATTATATGCTAACTTAATACAAAAATTTCTATGGATTGTTTGGAACATATGATATCTGTTATGTAAATTCAACACAAATTTTTCAACTGTGATGTAATTATGTATTTATATACTTTTTTTCAAGCAATTTTGTATTTGTTATTTAATGCCCGTAAAATAATCGAAAATAATTATAAGATAACTGAGATTTGATCTAATTAAGTCTAATTGAATGTCACGTGCGTTTATATTCTTCGAAAAATTTATTCGCGACATTTCTTGAGGAAAAATCATGTGTTCTTTGTATCGTGACTCGCCACACTCTTGTCCGTTCGCGAATGACGTAAATTGATACATCGCGACTTCTCGTTGCGCTCGTCTGCCAGCTAGTTAATGCTCGGGCCAATGCTAAGGATCTTCATTGATTGGGGCCTCAAAAGCAAGTGTCGCCCCGACATCCTTTAGCAAAAACAAATTGATAAATCGCGAACAGCAGATTTGCGTGTGTATACTCCGATTAATGATGCTACTGATTCCCTCTCGAAAAATATCAACCAAATGACATTATTAATTTTCGATTTCTGACATTTCAAAAAAATTTTTCGTAGAATACAAACGCATGCAATATTTAATTGGACTTAATTAGACAAAATTTAATTACCTTATAATTAATTATTTTCGATTATTTTAAGATTTTAAATATAACAAAATACAAAATTGTTAATGCTTGGGAAAAAGCGTATAGATGTCATGAATACACAATTATAGAAAAAATGAAAAGAAGAATAATATAATTATCATGCTGCGATACTGCATGCAATAATTATCGTCACGATTGAAAAGAAAAATAGAGGAAAAAGAGATTTTCTTATTTTAGCCGTCGTACATTAATATTTCGTTTCAGAACATAAATCCGAGATTTTTTACGTATAAATTAAAAATTATAATAGAAATATGGCACGTGTGGCAATTGAGACTAACAATAAGATTTTACAATTTGATTCAGTATTAAATATGAATGCAGATGCATTCATATTAATTTACATATGCGGAAAAAAAATTAGTTACCATAGCTAAATTTTAGTTGTGTTGCTATATTATACATTAAATTTAATTATCATGCTTATTTTAGCTATAATAGCTAATATTTTTTAGTTATAGAATTCTGCGTTAAACTATAACTAAAAATATTAGTTACTATAGCTTAAAGGCATGATAAATTTTAGATTGTAATATAGAGACAGTTAAAATTGAGCTATGATGGCAATTTTTGCGATTAACAAGATTTTGCAATTTATTTATGATAAAAAAAATATATAATGAGATTACATGAACTATAAATAAAGTAAAAATAAAAAAGGAATTTTCTTAAATAATAAAAAAATGGATTTTTTAAATAAAAAAAATGTTTTTAAAAAAATTGAACAACACGTTCTTTTTTCACTTAAAATTGAAAGTGCTCTTAGGCTGCTATTTTTCATAGATTTATTTATATTTAAATATAAATATTCGATAAACATTGATTAATACTGATATTTTTACGTGGAGAATGGAACGATACCAGAGATTATATTCACTTTCACAATGATTTTCGGGTCCGAATTTAATTATTCCGAAAGCGTCCTCGATTCGTTTTGCGCAGAAATCATTTCCTCGGCGTAGTAAGGACGACCTCGGACTTCGTTGGCGTCACGTGTGTTTTCGCCAAGTCGAGAATATACGTCTCGTGCTTATGCAAATCCGGCGTGCAATCTCTGTCATCGCTTTGTTGCTTCGCGATACTGATATAACGTATTTCTATTCGCGAATTGTCATCGAATGCGCTTTTTCGATGACAAGGCACTTCTTTGTTATCACCAGGTGAATAATCGCCGTACAAATAGAGCGATAAGTGATCCGAAGAATAAGATCCCAACTGGCACTCGCAAACAGTCGTCGATCTGTTTAACAGCTAGTAAATTCTTGAAAAATCTACGAACAGAGATCACTCTGTGTATTGAACTCTCCTATACAAATAACTATATTTTTACAAATAAATATATTTTTTATTTAATAAATTTTTATTAAATAAATATATTTTTTATTGCATCATTTTTAAATAATTAATATAACGATAAAACATATATAATTTTTATTATACATATTATTTATATAAAATATTCATGAGAAGATTATTTCTTGTATGATTCTTTTAAATGATCATTCATGGATGTGGGTATGCTCATTCATTATATTGTATATCACTAGTCAATGTGTATACCATACGCCCCCTTTAGTAAATAAGACTTAAATAACCGCAATTTCCTCGATTGTTACTCACAGTGTTGAAAAAGTACACGTTCGTCGTCTTGCGGCTATCGTGCTTAACGATCGCGCAGACAGCTTTAGGTCACACACATTGGTTCTCTTCACCCCTGATGTTCTTGAATAATGAATGCATTTCTAGTACTCGTGCGCAGGGGTGCAATTCGTGGAGTTATATATCCCGCTGTCGCTTTCGCACGACCTATCAACAGATTCCCCAGGATAAAATTGCATGATACGTTTGTGCACGTGCTATATATATCTCGTTTTTTTTGTTCATCACCCTGATAACATTACGTAATATGGTTGAAACTTTATAACTGTCTAGTTATATCTTCTAATTACCATTAATCGAGGTTAACATTCTTGCGGTAAAGTTGATTATTGACTACTAGACATCATTTTAATAATTCTGCGAGTAAAATATTTTGCTGCTATTTTCATCAAGCAAAATTTAAATCTTTTATTTAATATTAATATCATT